AGCTGAGGCTAGCCATATACTCATTATGTAACCAAGGATAACTCTGAACTCCTGATCCTGCTGCCTCTCCCTTCCAAGAGCTGGGATTACATGTGTGCATTCCCCTGCTAGTCACATCCATGAATGACTTCTGATCATATTTGCTGCCTCCTCCCTCCCTCGGTCTTTGCCTTTGTCTCCTAATCTGTAAGATGTCTAATGTTCACTTCTTTATCCACAGTGAAATAGAAGAGCAGTTGGCAATAGAGGGCATAATATTTTCTTTTTGCTCAACAAATGGATGAGTCTTCTTGTACATAAGACTGTGTTTTCCAAAGCTGAAGATACTCTGGGTGTTGTTCTTCATGCTTGACGTTTTTGATGTGCCAAATTTGATTACCATTTATGGAATAAGTCTTTATTTTTACATATAACCTCATCTTTTTATTTTCACTCAGTGATCTCTTCTTAGAGTCCAGATAAGCAAGGATGGTGATAATTATGTTTTAGTTGTATATTATTATGAAATATGTACATTTTAATGAACAATTATTAATTTAAAAATATTCCCAGTTGACAATGTCCAACTAGAAATCTGAGTCTTTCTTCCTGATATTTTCTAACTAGTTGGCCCAGCAGATTATATAAACCTTCTGTCTTTTCCTCACTGACATGAGAAAAAGAACCCCAGCATGCTAGTACTTAAGTACTGACACACTTGAAGTGTGCAGAAAGAGTTTATTTTGATATTTTTCTCTTCTGCTACTTGACATTTCCATACAGTCCCACACAACACCATACTCTTTTAATTATTAGACCTTAAAATAGGTTTTAATGTCTGGAGGGGCAAGGGCCCTTTCATTTTTCAAAAGCAGAGTTTCTAGTTTAACACCTTTTCAGATGAACTTTGTATAGTTTCCTCCAAACATTTTGTTGGTATTTTGATTGGCATTGTGCTAAATGCATTCATTAATCGACATCTTTACAGTATTAAATCTTCCCACTTCTCCGCCAGCTGGAAGTATTTTGTCCTCCCTCTGAACTCCCCTAGCACTTTATACCTTAAAAAACATCACTTTCCACCTCTACCCACCCAATTTTTCAAACTTGAAACCTGAGCATTGTCTGCATCCCTCCCCCGCCAACCATCACCCCATCCAATCAATCATCAAGTCTCGTCAATGCTACTTCCTAAATTCCATTCACTTCTGCCTGTCCCCACCACCAGCACTGTGGTCCAAGCTTCTGTCATTGCCGTCTGGGCCACCATACTGGCCTTCACTTGACCTTCTGCATCCACACCACAGCCAGAAAGATGTGTGTGTGTGTGTGTGTGTGTGTGTGTGTGTGTGTGTGTACTCACATGTATGAGAGCATGTATAGGCATCTGAGTGCATGCATGGAGGCCAGAAATCTACATCAGGTGTCTTCTTTTTTGGGACAAAGTCTTTTGATAAACATGGAGTTTACTAGTTTGGCTGGACTGACTAACTAGCCAATGATCCCCAGATGTTCTCTTGTCTGATTTCCCATGTCACTATGCCTGGGCTTTTTTTTTTCATATGTATTCTATGCTTTCAGTGTCAGGGTCTCATGTTCGTATGGCAAGCACTGTGCTGACTGACCCATACTCGAACCCCAATATTGCCTTTGAAGAGTCAAATCTGATCATGACACTATTCCCCACAGTAGTCAATGAGCTGAGAGAATATTCCTGGGTGACCTAGTCTCTACCCCTTCAGCTTGTGTCAAAGCTGCCGTACACTCAGGACTTCTGTCTCATTCATGGCACAGTCAAATATCAGGTTGCCCTTCCCTCCCAAGAGCCTTTCATGTGCAAGACCCTCTGTTTGGCTTCTTTTAAGTTCTCCTTAATACTTAAGTTTGAGAACACTCAGTTTATCTCAACACTTGAAGACCTCAAGTTCAAGAGCACTTTAGGCTACATAGCTAAACCCTATTTCAAAACCAAATTAAAAAACAACAAAAAATAATTGAAATCCAGTTGCTACAGCATCTCACATAAATATTTAGTATTCATCACATTTGCTATTCCTTGTTCAAACTAGAGGCCACAATGACACCAATGTGAGAAAAACATTGATGTACATTCTGAGGGTGTATCTACGGTACCACTCATGGTCTACCCACTCCATCCCAAGTGCTTACAAAGCCCTGGCTTTCCAGCATATGAGAGCAGATGGTTGAAGTTCCCAGGAACCTTGATGTCACACAGTAGCTTGACATCACAGTAGAAAGAATGCCTGCACCATGAAAATCAGGAAATTCTGCAACCCAACCTTTGTTTTGAATTACCTGGCAAGCTGGCTGTTTGGCCGTTATGATCTTACCCTAGCCTTCATATTACAGTGTCCTCTCCCTGGTCCTGTGGTATACATATCCCATCTATAAGATGGGGCAGAAAACTCTTTAGCAGTCCAGTCAAGCTGTGGGTCCAGGTCTGCTGACTCTACAACACATATAGCTTACCTTTACACCGTAATGTCTTGGAAGGTGAGAGTCTGAAGGCTTGATGTGTCCCGAGTGTCAGGGTTGAGCATGGTGTACATGCTCATGTATACTCAGCACCATGCACACTTAGTACATACAAACATAGTGATGTCAGCAATATAACAGTACTTAGTGAATCGCATCTTATTAAGCCAGGAGAAGAGTTCTTTGCTGACACTGACACTTGGGCATACCACATAGCAGCTATGACATCATGGGCCTGTCTTCTACTAGGCACTATGTTTGTTTCCAAGAAATACAGATCCTCAGATGGAAAACTACTGTTTTCAAAAGTCCTTGTATATTTCCCTCCTCCAAGAAGCCTTTCTAGATTTTCCCTGGGTTAGTCCTTCCCTGATAGACATTCCAACAACCCCTTTGGCTTTTATATATCTTATGAGACTTAACCTAATTATTGGGATCTATCTAGACTATCTATCTTCTCTTCTGGAACAGTAGGATGCTGAGGTATCTTAATGTTTCTTGTCTTGTATCTTGAACAAAATTTTGAACACATATTTAATCAGTGACTGTACTGTACTATACTATACTATACTATACTATACTATATCATACTATACTATATCATACTATACTATACTATACTATATCATACTATACTATACTATACTATACTATACTATACTATACTATACTATACTGTCAGAGGTTAAGAGATTTGACATCATTTGTCTGAAAGCCAAGGTAGGTTTTGGCAATTAAATGCAGCTAGAAGTAAGAGGCTCAGCTTTCTGAGGAAGTGTGCAAACACACACATACACACACATATACACACACCCCATCTGTCTCTAAGTGTCTATAATCCCTTGAGAACTGAGATTACTTCCAACTTCAGTAGAGAGTTGAAGGCTGGCTGAAAAGTCCTTATTAGAATACTCACCTACATCTTCCAAGGCTAGACCCATCATCTACTCCCAGGGGAACTTAGACTAAACACTGGAGATACCAAGAATGTGTTAAGCGTCCTGGAGATAGGACCTTCTTCAACTGACATCAGGGACAGACCATTCTCCCAGGCTCTTCCTCCTCCAGTTGCTCCCTCTCAGGTCTTCCTCACTGTCCTCAGCCCTCATTTTTGGGATTCTCAAAGGGCCTTCTCAAGCTTCCTTCCACTATAGAGCTGCCTTCCCATCCATGGCAACACCTATCCTTACACTTCTTACTCTTGCCTAGATCCTTCCTGGCTCAATATCTTCCCCATTAGCCTCATCCTGCCTGCCTTCCTCACTTCCCATTGCTCCCTGCCCCAGGGACTTCATTCTAACACCCTGGCATTCTTATTCCTATCCAGTGGCACCGGGCTCCTTTATATTTCAGGCTCATCATCTTACTGTGTTCTTTGCCAGGCACACTCCATCACTCCAACAGAGTCATAGACTTCCAGGTACAGTTTCAGGAAACACAACTGACCCAGCAGCTGTCTGTGGCTATAGGGTCATAGGAAGACTATATGAATGGATCACAGAGGAGGTGGTGTGCTCTACGGATTGTCCTTTCCTATGATATTGTTCTGAGCTCAGTGTCCCTTCTTCAGAGAGGACATTCTCCTGAAAACCCACCTGAGGCCCCTCGTTCTCCTACCCATATTTTCACCTGTTTGAAATCACACCCTTCATTGACTGTGCCATTTGCCTTGGACCCCAGAATGTTCACTTCACTATGGTTACTCTACTTCCCTCCCATCAATATCTCATAAGCTAGAGTTACATCATCCCACAAAAGGCACAGATAGGTGGGTGAACTGTGCCCTGCTGGAAGCTATAGCAATTGCTTCTCGTTCCCATCATTTGCTATCCACACTGACACCAGGTGGGTGTCCCAAATCTCATGATCCAGTCCACACTGAGCTCTCTTCCTGAACCTCACACTTATTGCAATGGATACTTTGCATTCTGAATTTAGAAAATCTCCACCTGTGCTAGGCAGTCAACCAACTACATCCTCCAGAAGTTCCTAAACCTCCAGACAGGGAAGAAATCCTTTCTTATGTGTCGTCTGTCCTTTTCACTGAGAGAAAGCACTCATTCAACTGATTGGAGTAGACACTACGAAAAAGACATTCTGTGACAATTGAATGGTTGAGTGGGTTTTACTTTTGTACGGTTTTAAAATACTTTGTACCACTCTACTGCGCAACATGCATGAATTGCTGTCAAGAAGACTCACAGCCAACAATTTTGATTATGTCTATCCAATTGCTAATATGAAAGTCCCTAACATGGTTATAATAGAGATACATTTTTAAGGGTATGTTCTAGAAGTGAGCTGTCGTAGCCATCCATCAACAGACCATGCAAAAGTTTCTCGGGTCAAGTTCAAATTTAGAATTGAGTTTTCACTTCCCACTTGATGCCCTCCACTCAGTCCATTCTTCCCACAGTATCAGAAAGACCTAGAATAACTAGGCTGATTACAGAATAGAGATATTGAGAACTAGAGCAAAGATGAGCTAGGAACCAGCTACCTTAGAAATCATTTTTTTTTCTTACCTGTGTAGATGAACCTGCCTGGGGCTCCTTTGCAGAACTGTTTGGATTTATAAGATAGTGTCACTTCCACAACTCCAGGGATATGCCGGGGAGGGGTCTGTACTCTGATGGCATGAGGGGTTATAAGCTGAGAAGGGAAGAGGCAGGGGAATACAGTCACCAGACAAGTCACCAAAGAAAGAGGTCACTGCTTTTGGCCTCACATATTAGCTTGGCAATTGCCAAGCCCAAGTCAGCACTCATACTTCGCTTTCAGTAATGAACTTAGTTAGTTTTGCTGATTAGAAACTGTAAGTCAAACGTATCCAATTTAGAAAATTGGGGATTTAAAGAACTATGCAAGGAAATCTAACATTGTATAACACAGAGACAACCAATATTAGGATCTGGTGTGTTGCCCAGACATTTTGATGGCTGTGTGTCACAGAATTAGATTATGCACATCCACTGTTATTCTGACTTTCCCCCCACACAGAATCACAGCATAAACATGCTCTTCTCTGGTATCATTAGAATTTTTCCAAAACACAATTTTCGATGATAGAAAGATACTCTGCCTTTTTTCTCCATCTTCTCCTACGATTCAATATTTAGACTCTAATTGTTCACAATCTTATATAAAACTGCAATGAATATTTATCAATTTAAGGAACCCATTCCCCAAATGTTATGACTTGTTGTGTCTTGATACCCTGGGTGTCTTGCTCATAGGTATACAGGACTGAGTATTTATGATGCTCCTCCACCAGGAATTGCTAGTTCTCCTAGCCCCAAAGAACTATGGAGCCAAAGGATATCATGGGAGTAAATGGCTTTGACCTACCTCACTCCATACAAGCATGGTACCAAACACAACTTGGAGACCGTCAAAAAAGTTGTCACCAATGATGATGACCATGGCCCCTCCTGTGGTCCAGCCTTCACTTGGGCTGATGGCTTTGATGCAGGGTGTAGCTGGGAAGAGGAGAAAGAACAAGTCAGCTCTGTGTCTTTTGTGAGTGATGTCTGGGGTTAGAGAAAGGTGCTGTCCTGGAAAGCTGTTGGTCATTCCAAGAAGTTGTGTTGATTTCCCATCCTTCCCTAATTGGCTGTTGGTTTTTACCAGGTCATTAAAGCTTAATGAGTTGGCTGTGGTGTATGAAAGACTGAAACACTTAGCTAATTGTGTAAAGGGTGTTTTTAAAACTCTGTTGTTTTTGCCCATATTTTTATAAGTTGATCACTCTAGAAAAGTGTAAATCCCTTTTCTCTCCCCACCTCCTCTGCCCCACAATGTTAAGATTTACAAGGCTTGTTAACATGCTGGGGAGAGAAAGAGGAAACAGGATCTATCGGAGTTGAAGGGTTTGCTCAACCCCACCTAGAGACAACCTCTAATCGCACTCCCAACTCTGTAGGACAGAGTTTCCTTCCTTCATGCATATGTTCGAGGCCTCTGGACTTTGCATCCCAACAGGAACCCAATACTGTGTTCAGGCCATAACTAAACTCAATCCATCACTCCATTTCCAAAGTTGACAGGGTCAAAGGTGGAGGAGAACTTTGGCAGGACTCCAAAAACATGAGCCCCCTTTGAACGGCCAGTCAATCACATCCAATCAGTCAAAAGAAACTCGAAGGGCTCAGAGCTCTGAACTCTGGGATTTTCTTCTTCCCTTTCAGTGCCCACTGTGGGAGAATTAACACCGCTCCAAAATTCTTTACTGATTCAATCATTTTCTTTCAGATCATTAATTCCTATTTTAAATGATATAAGATAGATTTAAAGGGCTGAGGTGGGGAGAGGGCTGGTGAGCAGCATGTAGGGACACATCAACAGTAAACTCATAGCTGGATTTGATTCTCATCGATAGCATGAGGTCTTCCAACACCAGCAGGTTTGGGGTGAGAAGAGCATGGAAAGCACGTGAGGTGGCATTCACTTAGGTTTGTCAGTTTGTCCATTGGCATACTTTAATGTTTTTGGACAACTTGAAATTTAACAGTTACCAGTATTTCTAATTAGTTTAATGCACTTGGAAAACGACCCAGAGCAGCCCGTGATTTCTTCTTGTCCAAGCAAACAAAAATCAATTAGTGTCAGCTTCACTCCACACACTGTTTTGTTTTGCCCACAATCTGTTTAAAGGCACATCTGACACTTATTCATGCACGTCTGGCACTGTACTGTTCCTGTTTAACTAAGATGTCATAGGCCCGAGATTGCCGGGAATACCAGTCTCGCTGAAAGAAAAACATGGATTGGAATAGAAGAGACAGATCTGCACACTAGCCGGGACGTGAGTGGGGCAGAGTGCAGTCAGCAGCACTTAGAAATGCCCATGGGGCGGGATGTGGCTCATGTGGTAGAATGCTTGCTTAGCATACAAGAAGTCCCAAGTTCAATCCCCAGGACCACATATACTGAGTGTGATGGTGGGCACCTACAATCCAGCACTGGGGAGTCAGATGTAGAAAGATCAAAGGTAATTTCTGGATAGTAAGTTCTAGACCAGTCTGGGCTAGAGACATTGTCTATAAACAAATGAATGATGCAAACAAGGTCTGGGTCAGGTCCCAGTCCTACCTTCTGATGGGTCAAGCCTTCTTGCTCTCCTTCCATGCTTAGAGTTGTTATGAACAAACATGTTGTCAGAAACAGCCAGCACATGGCCATCCACATTTACTGTGGTGGACAACACGACCTGCATTTAAAGCAAAAAGAGGAGAGTTTGGTCAGTTTCACACCAGGGGGTCAGTGTACCAGGATTCCTTGTAAAATACTTCTGCAAGGTGAGTGAGACAGGACAAAAATTTGGGGTAGAACAAAGGGCAGCCTTTGATGTCTCTGAGTTCAAACTCTGTCAGTGGCATACAGAGGAAATTGACCTTCTGTCTGCTGTTTCCAGAAACCTCATCACCAGCAGGACTGTCCTCCGGCCATAGCCACAGCTGCAGAGAGTGCGATGCAGGAACCGAGACAGAACCTCCACTGGGAAGCTCACTTCTCCAAGCTTGGAAACAAGGATCCTATCCCATGGATTGTGGTCATTGGAACACTAGCTGATCAGTTGTGTCCAGCACCCCTCTGCATGTGTGAATGGTGATTCTGTGAGATGATGAGCCTCCCCAGATGCAGTGTGGGAGATACAGAATGTTTCGTGTATAACTGGTGGGCGTGGAGCAATGAAGAGTAAGAACTTGGAGTGACAGCCGAATTGAAACCGAGGCCATTGCATCCTAACGTAAACTCATGGACAAATCACTGAACCTTTTCAAATCTCAGTTTTTCTTATCTAGGGAACATAAATAATGCTATCTCTCTTGCGGGCCTGAAAGAGATAGCATGAGACGGTACATAGAAAGCATTTGGCGCGATGTGAAATACAGGCCGAAGTATGATGATTCGTGACCCATTTGCCTCACTCCTGCCTCCTTTGTCCAGCTAGTAAGACAAAAGACATTATCCAGCGCAATTCTAGCATAGTCTAAACTCTGGAGAAGGTTTTAGAAAGAGAGATTTCAGCACTAGGAATCACAGCAACTGAAAGATATCACCACACCACTGCTCTCAGAGGTCTTATGACCAGACTACAGAATAGTAGCTAACATATATAGAGAGAATTTAATTCTATTATATATTCTGCTGGTCAGATCATGAAAGAAGTTCAAAGGCAGAGCTAAGCCAAGAGAGGCAGAAGAGAGCATGCCTGGCCACACCTACCACCCCTGGACTTGACCCAGGAAGAAGAGTGTCCCAGCAGGAATGCTACTGCTCAATTCGTGCAGCTAGGCACAGCAGGTTTTCTGTGGCTCTTTGGAGAAAGAAAAGTGTTATATATGTGCTCATGAATATGCATAGCCCGTTCCAGGAAGGACATTGCATAATCTAATGAGCCATGCTTCAGAATGACTCTCTCAGCCTATGGCCCCAATGCAGACTCGTGCTATCATCCTACCTGTAATTGTTCTGCCACGCCTTCTAACTTATTCAATGAAAGAGGAGGGTGGAGAGACATGACCTTACTCAGATCTCAGTAGGAAAGAAGTCAGCGTTCCCGGGAAACACCATTTTATTATGGATAATTTCAGGCAAAGAAGATGACAGAACAGCTAACAAAATTTGAGAACCCATCATTCAACTTCAAAACCTGTTCAAACATTGCTGTTCTCGTCCCATGGATGCCATGGTCTCCTCCCTTCTTGAATTGTATAGAAAACTGTGACAAGCATAGGTTTGAGAGTGCTATGGTAAACCTTCACGGCATAATCCATTCTCCTCTCAAGGATGGAATACTTTATCTCTTCAGAAAATGACTTCATATCCCTTCCCAGTCAGGTATAATCCCAAGGAATATTCTTCCCTCCCTTTGTTTTCTTTTGTCTTGAAAAGAATTTCAGGTGTGTGTGTGTGTGTATGTGTGTGTATGTGAGTGTATGAGTGACTTGTATGAGTGTGTGTATGTGTGTGTATATTTGAATGTGTTTGTGTGAGTGTATGTGAGTGTGTGTGTATGAGTATGTGTGTCTGTGTGTGTATGTGAGTGTGTAGGTATGTATATATATATATATGAATATATGAGTGTGTGAATATATGTGTATATGTATAAGTATATGTATATGAGAGTGTGTGTGTGTGTGAGTATGCTTATGTGTGTGAATGTGTGTGTGTGTGTGTGTGTGTGTGTAGGTGTGTGTATGTCTCTTTGCATGTGAATGCATATGTAAGGTCAACTACTTTGGGTGGCATTTCTCAAGTGATAGCCACCTTGTCTTGTGTCTTTCACTGGTCTGGAGTTTGTCAATTAGCCTAGGCTGCTTGACAGTAGCCCTAGGGATATGCCTTGTCACCACCTTCCCCAAACTGGGACTACGACGAGCACACGCCTTTACATGTAGATTTTTAAAGTGGAGATCCGAACTCAGGTTCTTGTGCCTTCGTGGCAATCGTTTTACTGACTGAGCTATCAGCCACCAGGATGGCATTGTTTAACATTTTTATAAGACTCATCACTTAATAGTTTTAAAAAAATCCCTAAGAACCACGGCTCACAAATCACTTCCTGTGGCCTCACTCTGTGGGCTTGGTGTAACCTATATGAAAATTTTACATGGATGTAAATGAGTTTCAATCATTCGACTCAACAAATAATCATTGACTGACAACTACACATCAGGAGTCGTGACAGGCCCTGGGGACTCAGAGAACAAACTTAAAGGAAGCTCAGTTGTCATTCAGAAAATTATCGCCCATATAATTGCTCACAATTCAGGGATGTAGCCTGTCTAGCCTTTAGGTCTGTTTCCAATTGTGTCTGTGTCAACATGTGACTGAGAAAAGTCCTTCTAGATAATTCCTATCCAGTGGTGGTGACCAAAAAACAGACATCCATCACTCTTGGCAAGTACACCAGGCCTGAGTGCTTATCAGAGTGATTTCAGAGAGTACAAGACCACGCCTTGAATCAGAGGAAGAAACAGACCTCATTTTGACAGGATTGGAGACTGCGTGTTAAACATCACCTATGTTTATGCTACCTTTGAGAATAGTAGAACAGGGAGGGGGCAGGCATCACGCTGTGTGTGCAAAATAGATCTTCAAACACAAAACAAAAATGGAAGAGAGACCTTCAAGCACTACACCTTAACAAGCTAGCCTGGGAACACCAAGGAGAACCGCAGTTCCATCTGAGAATGGCAAGCCTGTGAGGGCAGTCACTCAGGAACTGTCTGATTCCTTGCACAAGCTTGTCACATTATCCATGGACACTTCTTGCTTGTCCCTGCCACAAAATGCAGTTTTCCCTAGCCAGCAGATTTCATCATAGTCTGCTTTGGGTGGAGAGAGACTCAGTTCCAAAGTGAACATTTCCCGAATGATATACCCTGGTGGTTCACATTCACTTCATTATTTTCTATTAACAATGGAAATAAATTTTAATCTTTTGCTGGCTAGTGCTAGCCTCTCGTGACAGCAAGGGAATTAACCTGAATTATTTCAGTGTCTGCAAAATTTATTACAAGATTTTAAATTATGTCCAAATGTACGTGCATGTGTGTATGTGTGCATGTGTGTGTGTGTGTTTGTTCATGTGTATGTGTGTATGTCAAATTCTATTTTTCATATTCTAAATATCTTAGGCTGTGAAGCACCTAGGAAAACCTGCCAATTAAGCTAACTTTGCAAAAAATTAATGGATTTGATTCATAAATTCAGGAACATGAAATCAGACATGAGCTGTCCCTATTCGAGCTTAAACACTGGATTTTACATACATTCTCTCTACTTCTAGAATAAGCTACACTGCACATGGGAAGACCCATTTGGCTCAGTCAAGGCTTCAGGTTTAACTTCCTTCTCTGTTCTCTGATGGATGATGACAACGCTGATATTATTCTATCCCAAGGAGTAAGGACTTCTCCATGTTTTAAGGCTAAAGGAAGCAGAATGCACATTCCAACATCATCCCACTCCCAGGCCATCCCCTTCCCCAAGCCAACTTCTTTCCCCTAGTGAGTATTTCCTGGGTCATGAAGGCTGACCCCTTCCATCTGGAATCAATCAGTCAACCCCTGACAACTTCCTGAAACACCTCACTCCATTTCCTGTTCTCTCCCCCTCCTCGCTTTCCCCCTGGTTTGCTTCACTCTTCAAAACTGCAGGCCACAGCAGCTTAATGTTAGAGGGTCAGACACAGCTAGACTCCAAAACACTACACAAGGACACCTTTGACCTTCAAAAATCTTTACATCTTAGCTAAACAAATCAAGGTCAACATTTCTTACCATTAACTTGTTAACTATTTATATGCGTCTTACCACGGACTCTGCCGGTCATGCGACCATCCAAACCACTTGTTATTCTAAGATCATAAACCCATCTGCTTTGAAAATAGCACGTTCGGTCTAGATGAAACATGTCATTTGGAGGTCCCTCAAACCCCAAATCACCAGTATTATAGCAACCATATGGACCAAGATTCCGTACAATGGGGTGCCTATGCCTCATCTATGTCTCTTGTCACCTAAACGTGACATCTCATCTTTTCCGAGGCTATGCTCTCGTGGCACTGGCAGTCTGCTGGCACAGCCCGAAAGAATGCCAATTAGGGATACAGATGTCCATAATCTGTGAGGGATGGACCTCCGTGTTTGCTGCTCATACTGGTGACAAGTTCCATTTATCTCTCTCTGTTGATGTGTCTGTATTTCAGATCTGCACAAGTCCTTGTAGATGGTAGCTCCATCCTCAGCTCAGGCACTTCAACACACAAGCAGCAAGCAACTCAATCATCTCAAGATAGCCTCAGGCCAGAGTGCTGGGAAAGGGGAGGTGAGATTAGTTGAAATTGCTCAAGGTTTAAGTGAGAGTGGCCCTTCCTTTTGGCAATTCATTGTTTTATTTTGACTGTCACTTCTAATTTTTGGTTAGCCAGTAAACATAGAGGTAACAGACAAGTGATTGTAGGTTCTCATTCTTCCTCACTTACAAAAAAGATTTATTTATTTTTATTTTATGTGTTGTGCTGCCTACATGTATGTGTATGTACTACGTGTGTGCTCAGTGCCCATAAAGGCCAGAAGAGGGTGTCATGGCCCCTGGGACTGGAGTTATGGTTGGTTGTGAGCTACCATGTGGGTGTTGGGTATTGAATGCAGGTTCTCAGCAACAGAAACCAGGGTTTTTAATTGCTGAGCTGTCTCT